GCTTGACCTCTTTTTGTAACGTGTTCGACATTCATTTTATAACGTATATGTCACTTCTTGGCCATGTCTATCACTAAAAAATAAACACGAGACTAACACTTCTTGGACATTTGCTAAAACACATGATTTTCAAAGCGTGAGAATTTGACGTAAATATCTTATGCCCTTAAAAAATGTGTAATTATTAAGAATAATCCTATAGAAGTTCCACATAAATTTAAATAAAAAATGAAAAAGATAAGCAAATGCATTAGCTTAGGAGGATGAAGGAAATATTGTATAGATGTTTTCTACAGTTTGTCTAATTTTAACTACTATGGTCCAATAGTTTAAAAATTCATGTAAGAAAATAAGATACAAGATTTATTTAGTATAAAGCAATTATTTAATTTTGTATATGTTTTGCACTTATATAACAATATTTATTCCTAGATAATATTGTGAGAATATATTGTGTATTTTCTATTATTTTCCAAATTAGGCATGATTGTGGTTGTACAAATTAGAGTCCTATTAGAGATATAGTCGTGTTAGAATCCTATTAGAGGCATAATTGTATTCTCCCTTTTGGTTTAGGATTTAGGACTATATAATCTAAGGTCTGATTGTAATTATTCACACATTGAATATACAAGATACATAAAAGCTTTCAGGAATCTTACATGGTATCAGAGCCACCACCAGAACCCTAGAAATTGTTTTCCTCTTCAGTCTCTGTGTGAGTTGTGGGTCATCTTCTCCCTTGATATGGTTGTGTTAGAGTCCTATTAGAGGCATAATTGTATTCTCCCTTTTGGTTTAGGATTTAGGGCTATATAATCTAAGGTCTGATTGTAATCATTCACGCATTGAATATGCAAGATACAAAAAAGCTTTCAGGAATCTTACAAATATAATATCAAAATATAATTATTTGTGACATGTCTAAACCTCGTTTGTGTCCTACTTTTTTGGAATTTACTTTGTCTGTGTCATGTCTTATCTGTGTCTATGTTTCATAGCTTTTATGCATTAAATGCGCTGATTGCATTAGTTTGTGGGAGCAACTTTTCCAAGTTGAAGACACTTCTAGGCAATGGAAGAATTAAAGTGAAATGTTTAGGTTGAGGAAAAACTTTATCATAAAAAAATGTGCGGTCCCACATAGGGGAAAATGGCATTTATTTTTTAGTTGACTAATAGTAGGTAACCTACATGGTATCAAAGCTGATAATTGTCAGCTTTGTACTATGTAGGCTTCCCATCTTATAAGCATTGTTTGATGCACTCATGGTTTTTGAACCACTGGAGGTTAGAAGTAGGAAAAATTCTGGAGTTCCCTTGGAGCGAGCTTTTCTTTCCCATGGTAGATAACCCAATTGGTAGTGGGGCTGCCACAATTATTTTGGATCCCTTGCAAGTCAATTAAGGATAGTGGTTCCCCCAGATTTGCATCCATTGGTTTTGGAACATTCCTCCACGTTTATCATTCATACCAAACACTTCAGATGATTTCAGATAATCCTTTTAAGTTCACCAACATATTGGGATTTGGGATTAATATTACTCATCTACTGTAGAACAGCTATATATAGGAAAGTTAGCTTGAAAGAACAACCCTCGTGACACTTACTCTGGACCTTATTTGGACTATAGGTGCAATTATGATATAATATGTTGTATAGTATGTTGCTGATTCCCTAAGAACTTCTGTAATAACTAATGTGCAAGGACTATACTTGGTACACTTAACCTCATCAGTCACTAGTTTTCTGTGGCACACTCAAATCTATTAATATTACTTTACAGCACACTGCTACTATCCTCTTGACGACTTTATTTTGGGATGTAAACTTTTAGTTGGAGACAAATGCCCCAACATACCCAAATCCTATTATGTAGAAAGCCCCTGCTTGCAGCAACAGATATATGAAGAAATGATCTTTTCTGAAGACAAGTCATAGATTGCACAGTGCAGCATAAACATGCCCATTATCAACTCCAAGATATGGGTCCTGTTTTAAATTTACAGTATCAGAATTATGCATTAGAAAATTCAACAAGAAGTTAATGTTATGATCAGGAATAGAATGCCATGTCTGTTATTTCAATGCCCAATTTTTGCTGCCTAAATGAATCCTCAAGTGAAAGATAATGTTTTATATGTGTTCAAAAAGTAATTACCTTTCTCCTATTCTTGATCGTGGTTTCTTTGATCCTTTGTAATTGCACTTTTGCTTTGTTGTGTTCCTTAGCTTCTCAGTTACAACCCAGTCATGAACTCTGTTGGCTTCTAAAAGTCCTATAATTGCTGCCTTTGATCGATGTAGAGACATCACATTCTCAAACAGGATCCAGAAGAGAAGAAGATGCAAAGATCCGCATCCAAATGAGCAAGAAATATCCTATAATTCATTGTTGTCAGTTGTTCTAAAAAATATATGGGAATTTGAGAACAGATTTCTATACTGCTCTGTGAGGATTTTACCTGGGAGTGCAGAGAGCATTCAGAATGGTAATGGATCCTGGAATGTATATGGCTATTGGTTTGGGAAGATGGACAGGAACTAAGACACTTGCTGGCATGATTACGCAGTAAAAGAAGAAAGTGACCCAGTGTGCAATGATCTTTCTCACAAAGAAGAATGCATAGATAACATGACATTTCTTCCAGATTGACACCCTCTGCATAAGTAGGATGCTACATTAGTTTAGTATGTTTTAATAGAAAATGTGTCACTACTCTTGATATTAAAGCAAAAGAGTTTAGTATTCTCACTTCACAGAGGATGATTTCCTTTGTCATTTTCCTGAATAAGTTAGCTGGCCCACATGACCAGCGATGCTGCTGATATCAATAGGCCTTGAAGGTGCTTGGATGTTCGTTTTTGACCTATAGAGAGATTTTTGGTTGCTTGGTTTACTGGAAAAAACATGAAGACATAACTAGGAAGTGAAAATTTGATAGTTGCACCATCAACTCACTGCTAAGTCACCCACGAAGACAAATTTCCAACCTTTAAGGCTAGCCCTGACTGCAAGATCCATATCTTTCACTGTTGTTCGATCTTTCCATCCACCGGCATCATTTACTTCTTGGATCCACCAAACACCAGCAGTTCCTACAATTGTAGTTATGAAAAGTTATTTCAATTTGTATTGGCTAGCTACCAGAAAGAAATATTTTACGTTAAGAGTAAATTTCTAAGTCAGTTTACCATTGAACCCAAAAAATGAACATGTCGAGGAGCCGACTTCTTGCTTGACACTGAAGTGATAGTCTAGTGACATCTCTTGGAGACGAGTCATCAGACATTCATCCACATTCACTGCATAGATTAAAAGTAATATTGGATTAGCTTGAAGATAAGCAAATCACCAATACAACTGAGCACACACCAAAATGTTGACTTAATCAGATACTAGTAGCCATTTGATTCACAACACCACACAGCTCTTATCTGTGCCATTTGTCATTATTTTGGGTGACCAACAAATATAAGAATGTCAAGGATAACCTAGTAGGTGCTCATACAGTGGGACATGGCACTGTTATTGGCCTTACCAAATTTCCATCTGGCCTGAACCAATCCTAACTCAGGGTTCTCAAGAAGATAAGGAATTGTCTTCCAAAGAAAATCTTCATCAGGTTGGAAGTCTGCGTTAAAGATTGCTACAAATTCACAATTTTTCACATATTGTTTTTGTAGACCATCACGAAGAGCGCCAGCTTTGTATCCATTCCTATTACTCCTTGTTTCATACTTGACATTTACTCCCTTTTCTACACATTTCCTGCACTCCAACTCCACCAAAGCCTGCATGTACATGCACATATGGTCAATGCAAATTCACATTTGTAAGAAACTTGATTAGAGGTTCTATTGAGTGAAAAGAGATACCCTTATGACTTCATTGGTGGAGTCATCAAGGACTTGAACAATGAAATGATCTGTTGGCCATGAAAGGCCGCATGCAGCTCCAATGGAAGGTTTGTAAACCTAGAGGAGAAGAAGAACTAGGGGTTATTTGAAGGTGCTAGGTAGTTTAGCTAGTAAAGTCCATACTAGAGAAATGGACTGAATCCTGGCTTTAGTATTTGTTGGGAGGGGCTTATGGGTATGGGAGAGGGTTTCTGGACAGTATAACTCAATGTTGCATTTGGATTATAAGAAAAAAGTGTGAATTATTTTCTCCTTTATGTAGTTTGTCATCACTTGAGTTTGTGATGAGTGTCAACAAAAATGTTATCACAACCATGTAATACAAACAAAAAACACAGTTTACAATTAGCCAAATCAGGCTATCGTCGCCCTATATTTGTTTGTTATAAGAAATGGACAATAGTGATGGCATCTTATGAAATTCTTTGTCAATTTATATTTCTATAGCTTTTGTCTGTTGCCTGGATGAAGCTTGTAGATGGTTGCATCATGACGCGTGACCTAGGCATTTTGTGTTCCGTTTGCATTTACGTCTATTACATGTATATAAATATGTATGTGGAACCAAAGGTTAGATAGCACCTATATAATTTGATAGTCTTCACTGCCATTACCTGCTGAGTTGTGGTTCATGATTAACGTTCACGATTATGCAACATGTACTTAAATATCACTAATAACCACTCGCATTATGATTTTTTACTAATGTTTGAACATTTTAGTTTCTCAAATCTAGAATAGTTTTATTTCATGCCATAGGGGTATATATATACTATCTTGCTAAACTAGAGAGGTTGATACATATATTTGGTTATCTAAAAGTTAATGATAGTAAAATGATCATTACAGTATATGAATTCAAATGTATGGCAGTAAAAGTGTACCCAACTATGTGGTTGCAGATTTTTTCAGCAGTATTGATTAGGTTGAAATAAATTTTTAAGATCATTCTTGTTTCTCTACTACCTCATATGTTGCTAGAAGTTCAACAACCAAACATCCTTGTGTCATTATCTACTAAATTCTGCTTTGGACAAGGATAATTTTTACGCTTCTTATATGGTTACTTGATAACAGGTCATGACCTGGCGTGGTGACAAGTTCTCATCCAGTTAGCGCCATGGCGCTGGTTCAACCCACCGGAATCAGCCTCTCCACAAAATGGCAGGGGTAAGTCTGACTAACTGCTAGCTCTGTCAAATCCTATTGTACAGCGGGAGTCTTATGCACGGCCTTTTCTTTTTGTACAGTTACTTGATATTGTGCACAGCACGCCTACATGGATGCATACATACACTACAATTTGGAAAATCTTTGTTTTGGATGTAATTAGGAAACTACTTTTAGTGCACACACAGAGAGTAAGTTTTAATATAAGGTAATTATTAATAATTGCACATGTTAATTGATAGTTTTCCTTCTTTTACGAATTACTTAGTTTGTATTAAACAGTAACTATATGCACGCATGCTGTAAGAAAGAATTTATTGATTGTTGGATGTTGAATGCTAGAAAATCCTATTTACCATTTAAAATTAAATCATTAACGCTGTGTTTGGTTGGAGGATTTGGGAAGGGATTTGGAAAGGGAAAGGGAAAAGGTGTGTGAAACTAGGTGAAATATAAGTATGTTTTATTTACATTTCACCTACCATTTCCATTTCTCTTTCCAAATCCCTCCTCAAATCCCCTAACCAAACACAGTATAATGGATTTGTCTGTTACATACTATGTGTATGAAAGTGAGTTGCCAGCAGTGTTTCGGGATAGTAACTTCTGATAGTTCATGCGCTTAAATGCATGGCCAAATGTGAATTAAGTGCACATACAATTCAGGCTATAACATAAAAATAGTGGATAGTAAAGTTCGGTATATATACGTCCTTTTCATTGTACATAGGTATTTGAATTAACATCATGGGATAGCTTTTATTGTGCTCTAGGTCTTCTTTCAGAATTTCCAAGTTATATGTCACGCCCCCAAAATTATACAATAAATATAACTCATAAGCGGAAAGATAATAGAAATGATATGCTTTCATTCATCAAAGTTCGTATACAAAAGATATCACATGCGATAGACATTCATCAACTGTTCATCCTGAATCTACAGTATGTGTTACCATGATAAGAGAACTGAAAACTTAACAGGTAATCAGATGCCCTATAGGCTTACATCTTTCTATGTCATTGCTTGGTTACAACAAAAGTGAGCCTAGTTCAATATAGTTAAAGCCCTTGGTTATTGTAGACGTCCCCGAACGCTCCCGGGAGGAACGAGCTCCCGTTCCGTTCTTTTTGGGGTCACTACAGCTCAGGACTCTCGAAAATTGTCACGGTTCGTAATCTGAACCAAAGAGTCCAAATCCGGCAAATCGTTTTGAGAAAACTGATTTTTGAAAGAAGTGCCAAACATGGACTGCTTTGCCAGATACAGAGTCGCCACCTAAATATTTTATTTTGGGAAATTTAGGAAACCCTGACTCGGTGCCAAAAGGCCACGTGTCCGTCATCACCAAAGTTGCCTCGGCTCGGGAACTTGGGTACGATTGGGGAAGGTCACTTCGTGAGCACCCCCGCTCGCCCGGTCATAGACCGGCCTCTACTAACCATGATATCAATTTTTGAAAACATTGCGAGTTCTTATTCCGGTTATTAGCCTAGGTTACTATGTGATGCACACAGCATATAAGTATAGACTGGATCGCCCGAATTGGAACAAAACATTTCATGCTTGTTTATTTGAAAATGGTTTGATGATGCTACTCGCAAGTAGGCTAAGACGTGGATTTGCCACCCTCAGGTGGGCTTAGAAAACAAGATGATTTGCCACTATAGTGGGCTTTAAAAAACTCACAGTTGATGATTTGTTCCAATCGTTATATGCAAATGTGATAGAGGTATTAAATAATAAATATGATGTAGCAACCGAGAAGTGGTGTCTTAGAAAGCACCTTATAGGGGTAATTGGCGATGACTCACCTTATAATTCTCATTAATGCCAGCGGAAGCTCAACAAGTCTCAATCATTCAATAACCTAAACATTTCCAGAACTATACTTCATTTGTAAATGTCCTTTGAGTTTTAGAAAATAACATCACATGCATTAATACATTTATCGATCAAACTCTTGGAATCTATAGCATATTATATTTAAGGAACAACATTAAACCAAAAATAAGTTTATGCCTTAAAGGTTACAAGTTGTCAAGACTTTACTTGATTATAACAAAAGTGGGTCATAAGCCTAATAATACATTAAAACCCTGGGCTATACAAAAGAAAATACAACAAAACTAAACTCCAAAATCCTCCCAAACTATGGCATAAGCACACCGTTAGTACTTGAAAGTTGTTTCCACGAAGGGCGAGCAAAAAGCTCAATAGAGATAACCCAATAAAATATATGATGTTTAACAATATTATGCAATGAATTCATATGAAATGACATGCCCAAAAACATGAGTTTTCATTTTTTAAACAATGTCATGCAAGGGTTTTAAAATCACACTCCAAACAGGTTCTTTTAAATAGAAATTAGGATAGTAAATACAACATTGGTAATCCACTGAAACAATTGCTGGCCTCCCACCCTTCTACGGCCTTCCTGGTGATGAAACAGAGGTACCTGCCAAAAATGAACGAAAACCGATGCAAAACGAATGTTCGGGGGCCAAAACACGATGCATGAAATGCAACTAAGATACAATCCTAACATACACAATGTTATGGAATGGCATACACGTTGCACGAGGTAATATACAACCGAGCATACACAATGCTATGGATGAAATGGCATACGCAATGCAATAATGGGCTTACACCAACATGAGAGAGCCTCAGCCACACTCACATAGGAGGCCATCAGATGAAAACAAGACAACTCGAAATGCGTGTACGCGTGCACGCAAACCGAGAACCGACCCTCAAGCACCGAAATGCCACTCTAATGAGACATGGAAAAGACATGGAATATGATATGCAAACATGCAAAAAAACAGTAGTAAAATGAGGGGGAAAACAGCCCCGAAACAAGGCGAAATGACACCCGATGCATGAGACTTCTCCCGAAATGCAGAATTAGGTATATGAAATGGCTTACAGCTATACAAAGAATGCATAATTTGAACATGGAATGAAAAGACAGAAGCAAGGCAGCCCCAAAACAAGCATTTTTACAGTTTATAGCATGGCCAAACAGCAAACAGAAATAGGGCAAAACTAGCATGCAAAAATGGCCCTAAATGCAAGATAAAGAAGCAACTCACAGCTGCTGCCCCCAAACAGATTAGGGCCCTTCAACAAAGTTGAAGAGGGGCCCAAAATATGATCTTTTTCAGTTCTGAAAATAGCCCAAAAACAAACACAGGTATGGCTACATTCTTATGCAAGAAATGGGCCAAAAGATGGCCAAAGAAGGAAGTGGTAGATGCAAAGCCCAAACAAAAAAGGACTCTTCTACAATACTGAAGAGGGACCAAAAATAATGCATTTTACAGTTGATGGCCGGACCCAAAACAGCATGCAAACAAGACAAAAACATCATGCAAAAATATGGCCAAAAAGAGAGGTATAACACAAAGTATATGAAGGATGCCTCAAACAGTGAAATACCCTCAATGAAACATGAAGAAGAGGCCAAAATAAGACTGTTTTCAGTTCTGAAAATCGCCCAGAAATAAAATCAAAATAGGCTAATAAATCATGCAAAAATGGGGATTAAAAGAGAGATATAACACAAAGTATATAAAGGGTGCCTCAAACCATGAAAGACCCTTAATAAAACATGCATAGAAGGCCAAAATAAAACCTTTTTTAGTTCTGAAAATCGTCCAAAAATGGAAGCACAATAGGCTAATAAATCATGCAAAAATGGGGACCAAAGAGAGGTATAATGACAAGTGGCATATGGAGGTCCCAAACAGTGATGAGCCCTTCTTCAATGTTGAAGAGGGGCTCAAAATAAGCCTATCTACAGTTTACATCATGCTCCAAAACAGATCACATATAGGCTAAACATATCATGCAAGAAAATGGCATTCAATGAGGATATTGAAGCAAGTGCAAGATGGGGATCTCAAACAGTGAGAGGCCCTTAAGCAAAGGTGAAAAAGAGCTCAAAGGAAGGCCACTTTCAGTTAGGGCCAGAGCTCAAAACAGTGAGCATATATGGCTAAGAAATGTTGCAAAAATAAGCTCAAAAAGGGGGAAATGGTACTCACCCTTGAAGACAAGTCTTTGGTTGCTTCTTGGCTTGAGAAGTGGTGCCTCTTAGCTGCTGGAAAGCTCCCCAAGCTGCTGGAAATGGAGTAGTGGTGGTGGTGCTTGGTGGTGATGAAGAAATGAGGTGTGGGACTTGGATGTTTTGAGAAAATGAGAGAGATAGAGGGAGATTTGGATGCAAGACTTGAAGGAAATTTTCTCTAACCCTTCTTACAATATTTGAGGCTAAGTATATAGACCAAAGAGAGGGAGAAATGGTGGGAAAAAGTGGGGGAAAAAGGACCAAGTCCTTTCCCCCAAAAGGATTGTCCTCCGGATACAGATTTTTTGGGAGAAAAAGTGCATAGCTGTAATGCACACAACCTAAGGATTATGGCCGGCCACTTTTTGGAGCTGTAGGTGGCCGGCCGGCCACCGGCCGGCCAAGGGTCAAAAGGGTCAATGAGAATTAGTAGCCGACCATATGATATTGGTGGCCTCCCAGGTGTGCACAACACAACCATGTGGTCAAAAACTGGAGAAAGTGACCCAAGAGAGAGAATAGGCCACTTTTAGGAGGGGTTCAAAAGGGTCAAGCAACATTAGTGGCCGGCCACCAACTTTTAGGGTCCTTCCATGTGTGTACATAATAAATATGTGGTTAAAAGTTCAAGAAAATGGCCCAAGGGTGTTCAACATTGGCTCGGAAGTGAGAAAAACGGGCGTCGGAGGGCGCCGGAGGATATATAACTGGTTGCTGAAACAATTGCTGGCCTCCCACCCTTCTACAGCCTTCCTGGTGATGAAACAGAGGTACCTGCCAAAAATGAACGAAAACCGATGCAAAACGAATGTTCGGGGGCCAAAACACGCAGTCCGGGGCCCCGGAAATTGCCTGTTAAGCACCGAAAGTGGTATTCGACCACGAAGTGGGTCTCTCAGACCTCAGTGTCCCTCAAAAGGGAGTAAATAAGAAGTATGCCAAAAATCGGGGTAAACAGAGATGGTTAAGCGGTCCCGAACCGAGGCACACGGCCTGACGGTCCCGAAAATCGGAAACCAGGCTCCGAAATGGACAAAATGGCCTACAGCCACAAAATGTAGCCCACGGCTACTGAGAGATGGTCTACGAGACCTCTCCCTCCCCTCAGGAAAAGAAATAGAGAAAACCGAGTCTGGTTCGCAAACC